GATGGGCTAAATTTTAATTGATATTATTTCAGTTACGCGTGTAGACAAAACAATTTGAGATATTTTATGACATTTTATTACCTTTAGAACTCTGTAAATCTCCTTCTAAAGTGCAGGAACTGGGATTTCAGAAACTCTAGTTTAAAATTTTTCGCGGGCATGCTCCCGGACGCCCTTCAATGTCACCCACTTTCGGCAGGTGCTAAGTGTGCCCCCCCCCCCACTTTTAGAGCCGCTCCGACACTCCTGGCACGGTCAATGAACACATTATATTTCAGTATAATGAACGAATCATCCAAGTAGTCCAGTCATTCACTCATGCTATTTAAATATTAAACAAAGGATGCCTGCACGGCGTAAAGGCCCTGTCGCACTATTGCGTATGAGAGAAACGTATGAAAAGCGTATGTAAATTAATGAAATAATTTTCATACGCACAAAAATCCTTTGAAATGCCAGCGTATGAGTACCGTACATCTGGCGTACCTCTGGCGTGTTCAGCGTGTGCCTAGAGTATGCTTATATCTGATAAAGCATACGTCCGATACGCACAAAATTTTTGAACATGCTTAAAAAATATTTTCTGCCTCGCCGTATGCCACCGTATGCGACCGTGCTTGAAACGTATACAACCTACGCCTAACGTACCCCTAGCGTATGTCAGCGTATACCGGCGTATGAGTGATATTTCTCATACGCTGGCATACGCTAGTACGATACGCAATAGTGTGACAGGGCCTTAAGGTACGACTCAACATAAAATCCCACCTCATTAAAACCGTTTTGAAGTTTACCGAGTTTCCAGCCATGGTATCAGCCATATATAAACTCTTTCACGGTTATAATTTCTCCTGTGTTTTCTTCATGAATTGTTAATGAGTTTCACAATACAATTTATTACTTATATCACTAACTTAGCCTAGACTATTTATCTTTACAACAATTGCGATATTACTTTTTTAACTATGTTTATCCTAACCCAACTGTGTGGAAGGAAACCGGGGCGCATGTGACTTTCGGCAGAGGGGGGTGAAAGGAAGAAAGGCGCTTGCTCCGAAGACAAAAATCTGCGATAATTGACTTCCAAAGTTTACGTTCTACCGAGAACGACAGACTGGTTCATGTTGGAGTACATAACACCAACACTGACAAAAATCATGATTACTAGATTGCATTAATATCGTAGGAACTAGACTCAGTTCCGAAATATCACATACTCGAACCGACCTGACCGCGTGTATCTCAGTTGGCAGAGCATTGGGCTAGTCTTCCAAAGGTCGTAGGTTCGATTCCCACCGTGGCCAGGCATATTTTTCAAGCCTGCCCAATATGGATACACACTCAGAGTAACATCACAAGTATCTTATTCACCTGAGTACATCACCATCGAGTGTAAATATATATTTATAAAATAACATGTATATAACGCGTGCTCTGATTGGTCGAAACCCGTGCTTGGATCAGGCCATCCAAACACGGAAACCATAAAGTAATTGTATAATACATTTATTTGTATATGTATACACATTTCAGTAAATGTGTAGGCCCTATTACTGACGATTAGTAAGTAATACTACATTGGTATTGAGGTAGCCTGTGTAGCAGTCGCTTTATTTTATTGTAGGTTTTGAGGATTTTTGAATAAATGGCAGGTTAGACTACAATAAAATAAAGCGACTGCTACGCAGGCTAGTATTGAGGTTGAGTAGTGATCAATGTACCCAAAAGCTGAGGGAGGACTTTTACTAAATCTCCCGAGGCTTTCGGGTACATTTTTAATTACTAATAATACCTTAATATAGGAAATTAACGATGCACTTTATTAACGCGACATCAATTAACGCGACATCAATTGAACGCGAATCCGATCTCCATGGTTGACAAATTAATTACATTAACGCGAATCGGAAAATATAGGCACAACAACAACAAAGGTTTAATGTTAAGAGGGGCACTGATGTTTTTAGTTTAAGTTAATATGCTGTATTTTGATATTAAAAGAGTGTTATATAAAACAAATCTAGGTATTTTTAACTAACGATAAATGAAAATTACATACTTAAAATTAACGATCACATAAATTTTTAACGAATTTTTAAAATCCGCGTTAATAAAGTGCATCGTTAATTTCCTATAATAAGGTATACATAAAAATTCAACCTCTGCCCTCTGCCCTCTGGAGTACGAAAATGTTCTGGACAAGGATCCAGTCCCCTGAAAAGTTCTGTCTTTTGTAAATCCCCATGCATCACCTAGCTACCTAGTTGGGTCCCTTTTCTTATATATTTTTTTTTTGTGCAGCATAGGTAATAAAATTTCTTTAAAATAATCCCTGATCCCTGCAGCTTTGTATAAAATTACATTGGTTTCCCAAGTTATAGATTATGTTGCATGCGGAAAGATTATGTTGCATGCGTAAGGCGCTGTTTATGTTAATTAGTTAATTAGTTTGGATATAGTGTGCCATGCATGTCATATTACGTAATTAAACTTGTACTAACTTGTACTTTCACGCGGATTCCAATGTTGTGAATATGTTTATCAAAGAAGCAAAGACAGAATGCTCGGCACGTTAATGTGGATTTCGTGACCTATACATCTGTTAAGAGCGTAAGTATCAAATTATCGCGTGCATATACTGTCACGATATATAGAACCAATTTATTCAGAATTTCACTGAACAATGAGACATTGAGACATAATGGACAGAAAGCTAAACACTTTCCCCAAGCATGGCCGTGGATTTTAGTATTGAAGCGGTGGCTCTTCTGTGCACACCGTGGCACCGTTCTACTTCAGATTTCAGTTTGATGGTGTGGGGAGACAAGACATCAGCCCAGGGGCAGGGTGCATTCCATGTAAACTATACGCCGAATATACGCCAATATTAACTATAGATATTACTGTAATTGGCCAAACTCACGCCGAAGATCTTCGGCGTATTGCACTTAAAATGCACCCTGCACATCAGCAGACTAATCGCAAACGGAAATATAAAAGCGTCTCAGGTAGGCTTGCCGCTTGGGTAAATTATGCTCGAAAATATGGCTATTATATGCCCGAAAGCAGTGCTCGTTAAAACAATGTATTATGCTCGTGAAACAGCATATTATGCTCGAATTATGTTCGAGGAAAATTTAATTTTAATAGGTACAAAAACTCTAAAAGTCGTACATTTTAGCTTTAAAATGTTCGGCAAACAAGCCAAATCTGACTTTTTGTCAGCTCTCAGTCTTACAGTCTAGCATTTATAACTAAATTATTTCCTTCTACTTCTTGCCTTACTTCAGATTTCTCATCGTCTATGGCCCTGTTTACACTATGATACCGGATTCGCTGGTCACGACATCTTCTTTTGCCGTTACGGAGCAATGGTTAGCAGCAAATGCTTATTAGTTTGACAGAATTGGCATGTTTATTTGGGTCTCTGAGATTAAAAATCTTCACAGCCTTTCGATACCTACAAAATTTGACCCACTCCGATAGGAATCCGGTATAGTGTAAACGGGGCCTATAACTATATATGCTTTCAATTTTTTCAAGCCTTTCATTATGTAAATCTTCATCATCATCCTCGTGCCCGGGAACTGGCGGTCTAACCAGAACCAGTGAACTTGGGGGCCACTGGGCACTAACCGAACTCCCTCTTTTTAGTCTCGTTCCATTATTTTTATTTCTTTAGACTCTAGCCCCAAAGCCAAAGCATTATTTTATTATTTTTGAAATCTTTGCTCGAAAACGGCCTATTATGCCGACTATGCTCGTAAGTGCCTATTATGGTCCTGAAGCCCTATTATGCTCGAAATTATGCCGGCATAATTTACCCAAGCCTAGTCTTAGGTGAGAGGCTAATACCTCCACATTTACATTTGTACCGGATAGGCGGATAGCTTTCCGTAGCGACGTGAAAAAACACCTATCCATACCCTTTAGGAACGCTATTTTCAGAGGAATTATTGCAACAGAGAGATGTCGTTTCGCTCAGCTTCTGAAAGTTGTACATTCCGCAGCAGATAGATCTTCGCGCCGCGACGGGAAGCTATCCGGCTATGGTGTAAACGTAACCTAAGATGGCAGGATGTAACGAGCGTCAGATACAGGGAAAAAATCGACTTAGTTTGAACGCAAAAGACATGAAAATGTATCCAGACTAAAGGGCACTTGCACTTTCTTGTCA